AATTGTCAAATTTTCAAACATTTATATTTGTTGGATAATAATTAGCCTAAAACAACATTATTAACGCTGTCCCATGAGTAAAAACGATAGGCCATAGTTAAATATATTGGGCATACCAAGGACGGAACCACCAGTATATATATATATTTAATTGAAAACTAATGATTAAGCGTAAATTAAGATGTTCCAACCCATTAAACTGTATGTTTCTCAACACCACAACTGAACCTCGTCAGTACAGTGTCTATGGCATAATTATTATTACATAACAAATATAAGAAGTTAGCGGTTAATATTTCGTTGTTATGCGAAGTCATATAGTTAATTGTCGGGCAAACATATAGTTAGGTATTAACATTTAATTAAATGGCGTCAAATATTTTCTCCATGTTTTTTTTTGCTCCCAAATTTTTCCTCTGTTAGTGGGCTTGATTTGGTGATGAGTATAGCCACTCCTACTGTGCAAATGGGAAATCCAGACAATCCTACAGTTTGGTTACTCACTTTGTTGGGAGACTGGTACTGGCATATGCCAAAAAGTAAAAACTGGCATTAGCTTACTTTTAGGCAACCCACGAAAGAAGGTACCTTACTAGCGATTGGTTGCTGATAGCATTTAATACCGCTCGGGCTACTTCCCAACTTTCTCCACCTCTCATCGAGAGCGAATGCAGAGGGAGATTTTACTTTTTACTATTTAATTTCCTTGTAACTTTTTTAAACATAGAACTAAATGGCCAAAACTATGAATACTACGATTTTGAGTGTTTTTTTGATGGCAATCTCTACTTCCTAGAATTAGCTGAGGCACTTGAGTTCAATGCATTTTCTCTTCAGTGCATTTTTATCCATCATTTCACTTTCTAACATACTTCTGCTCTGCGTTATACATATGAGACATGATTTCTTATCCAGCCTTAGTTGAATGAACTTGAAGGGAAAATTTTTTCCTCATCTGGATGCTAGAAAATGAAAAGGAAATGTAGTTTTTGTAACTTCTCAGCATTTTCTAAATGTTATATCAAGATTACCAAGACCATCCGAACAATCGGTGTGGGAATCG